AAATAACTAAAATCTACTAGAGAATTAATTATTTTACTATAGTAATTATTTTACTATAAACAAAACAAAATTTTGACCAAAAAATGGTGAGTTAATTTTGTTGTACCTATGATTTTGATAATTATAAAATACATTTGAGTGATTAATTGATTTATTTAAGTGTATAGTTAAATTGCCAATATACTGCAAAGTAAGCAAAATGAGATTGTATTAAAAAGGGTTCAAAGGGTAAAAATATGCAGAGAGCTTGCTTAAGAAAATTGCAGCCGGCTCTGGGAAGCAAAAATGAAGAGAGCCGGCTGCAGATTTTGTTGAGCCGACTCTACAGGCCAGAAATTCAACTGCTGTTTTGGCGCGCGTGGGAAATGGAAGCAGAGCCGGCTCCCACTTTGAAACTGGCTATGAGGGCGCATTTAATGCACAACGGTTGACTTATTTGAAGAATATTTAATGTATTTAAAGTCGGAGTTCCAAAGTCGGCTCAAAGTTTTGCAGTCGGCTTTCGAGAAAAACAGAATGGATTGCAAACCCGGATAGCCGGCTCTGGAAGTGTAAGTTGGCTTTACAGAGCCAACTCTGGAAACTTAAGCCGGCTATACTGATAGTTTTGCAACTCGAGCCATGCGTCCTACATAGCATTTAATGACCCCCAACGGCTAGGAACGACTATTTTCGAGCAAGGGGCTATAAATATAGTTGGTAACAAATATGAACAAGTTAAGAGAGCATTATATTGAATATCTTTACCTACCAACTTGTGCTTTAACTAGAGATTTTGATCTTTGTGAGATTTTTGTTTGTAATCCTCTTCTTGTGCTATTAGTGAGTGATCTTGGAGGTGTGTTGATTCCTTCAAGAGTGATCTGTAGAGAGGATCTTTGGGGTTTAAGTGTAAAGAGGTGAGATTTGAGAGAAACACCCTTCTTCTTGTAAAGGATTGAGTGGCTCCTTTAAGCCACCATTGTTTTTGTTAGTGGAGAGTGTGGAGGAAATCCTAGGTGAGTGAAGCCAAGGTAGAGGATTAGGCTCCAAGTGGTTGGACCGAACCTCTATAAAATCATTGTGCAAGCTCTTCTTCTCCACTCTCTCTTTAATTTTTGTTTGGTGGTTGCAAAAAGGTGAAAATTCTCCAACTCCAATTCACCCTCCCTCTTGGAGTGCATTGAGTCAACATATTTGTCAATTTAAAAACTCAATATTTGTCAATTTAAAAAGTCGATGTGGGAAGAAATTTTAAAAATAAATTTAGCCTTTAACAATAAAGACAATGCATTATAAACGTCATCAATTGAATAACAAAAAATCAA